ACCGTTTACATGCATAAAAACCTTCATAACACACAAGGGGACGGGTAATAACCGGAAAAGCATGACATGGGACCTTTAAATTACAAACTTGTAACCCCAAATTAAATAATACCTAAAAAAAGTGTAGTCAAGCATGTCTAAAATATCTGAACAAACGTGCCGTATATATGAGAAAAACAACATAGTATAATAGAGTTTCGAAAAACATGCAAAAAAACGATGTGGTATGTTGCAAAAAATTAATAGAACAGTATGTTGAAAAATAATATTTAAAAAAAAGTCATAGTATGTTGAAAATGTTTTGAAAAAAAAGTAATCTTACTTGTACATGATGTAGCAGAAGAACAGGACTGACTGGACAATGATGAAGATTGTAAAGTGAACTGTGGATAGGCAGGAAGGCATGGGGGGCACCTCGGGGCACTTCACTGTCTTCTCCGCTGGATTCTGTGTGAAACATACAGAAAAGGGACAGAGTTCGGTCAATTCTGATGATCTTTTCACAAACTACTCCATAAGATTTGTTCCCCTCTGATCCACACCGGAGAGTTGCGCTGCACCAGGTGCTCCACGTCTCTTTTGACCGTGTGCAGATGCTCCTTGATTTCGTTGAAGTGCTGGATGGTCTCGTACGTTCCCAAAGCGCCCGCGTTCCCCTGCGCTGAGCCGATCTGCTTCAGAGACTCATAGAAGGAGTTCCTGCAGACACAAAGAGAACACACATGATATAATCTTTTAATGCAAAAACCTTTTAATACCAAATAAATATCTTTGCAATATAATCAAGATGTTTCAATTTGAATCCATGTTGGGAAGCACGATGCCCAGTCAATGTGATGGGTGGTATCATTTATTTACACTAATACTTTGTCCAGCATTAAATCCTTTAATCCCCATTCACTGGAGGATACATATTCTTAAAGTTTGAAAACAGAAAATTACCATCTGATAAAAGAGGTCATGATTGCAAATTAATCCCTTATAAAAACATGTTCTTACAACAGATTACAGGAGGTTAAGAAACGGACCAGAGGAGAGGTCTAGTCTGGGCATGAGGGTGAAAATAGGGATCCAAAAAAACATGAAAACGGAAACAAATAAATGTATTGTACCCTTTTTTTGGAAGAGTGGTTTCAGAAAGTCTTTTCAACCTGAGCAGATCAAAAAGAAGCTGCAGCTGTTAGCTTAGTTTAGCATAAAGACTGGTCGGCTGCAAGGATTAAACAATCCTGGCTAGCTCATTAATAAAACATGTTATGTATCATTTGCCTAATCTGTGTAAAAATGACAATTAGTGGTCAAGAAATGGCACATAACCCCCGTAGAGTAATGTGCCATTTCTTGAACTGGCGACGTGACTTTCGGTAGTCTTGGCGTCTTTTTGAGTCAATAAGTAATTTTGGATTATGTTTTTTTGACTGACGGTTAATGCTAGTTTATCCTGTGTCACAGCGTCTATCTCGCAAAGGTTTATTTGTCCGATTTCCCTTCATCACGTCTTCAAAAGAACCAAAATGTACAATCCAAAACCATTAACTCTCACAAGTAATACAATCTGAAATTGTTTTGTTTTGACTTTCAATTTCATTAGTAAATGAAATCAAGTAAACCATTCCCAGAAGAGAATGAAAACGTCTAAGCCCGGATCATATTTCTCCACCAAATTGAATTTCTTAAAAGTTGATTACTAACAGGGAGAAAGCAGTAAGTTCCCCTTATCATCTTAAACACATCTAAGACCATTATCAGAAAAAAAGTGTCTTTTGTAAATGAAAGTAATTCAAGTCGCTCCACAGATGAATTGGAGGTTACTCATGTTTTGCTTGTGTTTGACAGATGTATTTAAAGAAGCCTAATCTGATAAGGACTGAATGGTGCTAAGACGGTGGCCTTTTCTTGCTCGGCCACATGTCTGACAGGATGGACAGGGATGACATATAAACAAAATCTAATTTGTTTCACAGAGGGGGAAAATAAAAATCTCCCTTGAGAAAGTAAGTGAGCATTTATTAAACCCCACGTCTAATCTTCATCTGCTACAAGTGACCCATTTATGAGCAGAAAGCCCTCCTTGGAGTCTGAGAGGAAGTCCTATCACAAACTGTGTTTAAAGACCGGGATCAACTGAGAGCTTAATCTACAATGTAATACAGATCAGTCGCTCATATTAGCACATTAGAGGGGGCAGCTGCAACCTTTTGCCAGGGTCTCAACTTATTTACTGTGTCAATCAGCTTAGTCCTCTTCCCCTCTGATAATGTGCTTTATTAAAAACAAATCATAACACAAACTGTCTTTCCCTGCCATCTATAATATCATTTATGTTGGTAGAATTAATGAAAGTTGTAAGTTATGAGTCAACAATATACTAAAAAAAAATCATGTCTGCAAAATCATTTGAGGATGAATGTCCTGTTGGATTTAGGGCATATAAACAGCTTGGTTCTTTTATGATACATGAGACTAAGAGATTAATGTTACATCAAATACAATCTTTAATATCTTGTGATTCTGATTAATTCTTAATGCAGATGGTGTGTTGAAATTAAGACACAATGAGACTGCAGCCACAGGAAAAACATGCGACATGATTGAATAAATAAACGCAATTTCAAAAAGGTGTCGAAATAACTAACTTCATTATTTTGTACTCAAGAAAAACATTCTTGAAATCCCCGCTCACATTTAGGAGAAGGGTTTTGAGGAAGACATTGTTTTTAAATCTGTTGCGTGCTCACAATGACTAAGCCGACAAGCACGTTCGGCAAGCAATATGAAAGCACAAGATTGAAGCTAAACATCAAAAATGACTTTCTGAACACCTAATCAGGCTTACTTAGAAACACTCAGGGAAGGCATACCATCATAAAATCTCTTAAGCTGTATTATCCGAGCGTTCAAATCCTGCCAGAGTTGTGAGGAGACCATATTTAGAACCAAAGAAGAAGAAAAGATTAAAGCGGCCAGAGCACACTCTCCCTATCGTTGTATGTGTCAATGATTGAATTCTTCCAGTTTTTACACCAGGAGTAAATAATGCAACTGCTAACCTCCAGATATTCATTTATTAATAAATACAACAAATGAGTTCAAATGGTAGAGCTTATATCATGCAGAGCTGAGGCTTCAAAATGTGTGCAAATGCAGACTGATACTGCGTATGGATTATGGGCTGGCAGACACCTGTGATGCTGCAGTCACCGCATCCTCAGATTAAATATGATTGGAGGGATTTAGCCGCCAGGATTTCCCTTGTTTTTCTGGAGTATCACGGAGCTGTCTTTATGTTTTTTGGCAAAAACAACGGCTAGTTTTTAAGACCGATCAAATGTCAACAACAATGAGCCCTTTGGGACTTACCTCAGCTCGTTCAGGTTTTGGAGGACCTCCTGCTGGGTGGCTAGGACGGAGCCCAACTGCTGTTGACCCACAGTGTCCAGCTGAAGGGGAAAAGAAACATGGTGAAGGTCTGAAGGTTAAAGGCCTGAGTGAAGATTTGATAACGCTGTTGCTAAACAGAGATTTAATGGCTTTAATAACCCATAATAAAACAATTAACGTTAGCAAGAGTACTTCCTTTATAGTTTGTGTGGGCAGGATGCCAGTCTGTTGTGATCCCAGTACCTTTTTAGATCACTATGCTGACTAGAAATAAATGTAAGTGTCGTTAAAGCAAAACCACCAAATGTTATTTATATCCATACATTTGTGTAAAAACTACATTACAGTTACATGCACACAAATACTTTACTCTTATTCCAAATAAGACAATATAAAACATGTAATACAGGTCATGTAAAAAGCTTATAACTAGGCCCTTTTCAAACTGAAGCATATTTCCATTCAGACATGTGGGATTTGCTGACATTATTGAGGTTTGAGGAGGCTTCTTTGACAGAGCATCCAAATGGGCTTCTCATTCTGAGTTTTCTAACAGCAGTTTGTAATACATGGCCTTTTGCCGTTTACTGCCAGCTGTGTGTTTTGTACACGAGCCAACCAGAGATGCATGCCCAGAAACGCCACATTTCTTTATCACAACATTGACCTTCCTAAGAAAGTGGGCTGAAGAAATGTATGAGGGACCATGTGATTAAGATTGAAAGAGTCTGCACAAGTGAAACATGTTTAGAAATTGTCTATTTTAAAACAGCTGAATTTATAATTTATTGGAAGAAATGTGAGTATGTAAACACATTCAGTGATCTATAATCCTGTATCATGTCTCTCTGCGTCTGGTGTGAAGACATCTCTCCTAATAACTCTCACCTGTCCCGACTCGGCGTTGGCCCCCTTCTTGGCGACCTCGTCTGTGATGACGGACACGTATCTCCGCTGCTCGTCCAGGATCATAGCGAGCTGCCGGTGGAGCTGTTTGATCTCCAGGTGGATCCGGTTCTGACCCTCAAACACCTGACGGATCTCCTGGTCATTCACCGTCTCATAGATGTCCTCAACTGAAGAGAAAACACATAAGTAACTACATCCACAGACCTTTCATGAGGGATTTGAATGTTTCATCTATTTGAGTGGATTCACTAATATAATATAAAACTGCTAATAAAGGGTATCATTACAAATAACTTTAAACTTCATGATTTTGTTTATAATCACTTGTGATTTGGTTTCAGAAACTAACTTGGCTCTCCTTGGATGTCGGGGTGCTCTTTCTGAAACTCCTCTTTCTTTTTGTCCAGCTCTTGCTGGAAGTTCTGAAATTCCTCCTGGTACTTGTCCTTCTCTTCTTTAGGAATCTCAGATTCAGGTGGGGGCTTCAGTGGGAGAGACAAAAAAAGCCCTTAGTGAACTCAATAGAGGCTGTGCTTAGACTACCTCGTGCACATACATGCACGCTGAGACACGCAGCTGCACACAGGGACGTGAACGTATTAGGAGCTTTAGTCAAATGGAGTTACCGGCTGCTGGCCTGGCTCTGAGAGACTGAACGTTAAGAAGGACAAAACATCGTGGTCATCTGGAGGAGGAAAGAAATGATCAGTTAGTAAACTGCAACATCAAACATCGTAACAATGATGGAGGCACTTTTATAAGAAATGTAAAGGGGGTTATAATTAAGGAGGAAAGGGGAACTGGGGTAACATCATGTTAGTAAAAGACCAAAAATGACTTGGTTATAACACGTGTTATATGATATCTAAATGTATTCTTCTCTAATAGGGGAATAGCAGCTCATAACAATGAGTGTCACACTAAGAAGAACATATAAATAGGGTACATAATATGATTAAAAAACAATGTGGAAATGGGGCAAAAATAAACAAAACCTTAATAATAGGGTTAAATCATTTTAAATGAATAATGTGATGTAATAATGTGATGGTGTTGAAATATGCTGATGAAAAAGAGGATAGCAGAGAAGTAAAAAAAAGACTAGCTCATAATTCTAAGATGATAATAGGACATATAAGACATGAGTAATTATCAGACAATAATGCTGAAAGCCCTCTCCCTTACTCACATTGAACTCACAGCTTTAAGAGTTAGTTTTAACACAGAGAATAGAGTTGTACCTGCTAAGCCTCCAGTGGCTGCCGAGATGCCGAAGAAGCCCTCAGTGGGGATGACCATGTTGTCCACCTTGGTGCAGAGCTCGTAGTCTTCTTTGTCTGGAGTGAAACCAGCGTTGAACATCACCTGAGGAAGAGGAGGAGGAGGAGGAGGAGGAGGAGGATGGAGCAATGATGAAGCTGAACAAATACTACCAACTTTGCTGATCATAATTATAAAACACAATAACATCTATTTGCTGCAGTGACAGATGCCAAAGAAATGTCGTTGTACTTTGTATGAAAACAAAGATATATTTGATTCTATTCTATCACGGCCAAAATAATGGAGTGTTCGTAAGAAAACTTGCCTTTTTCCATTTTAGATTGTTATATTTGTTATATTGTTTTTAAAGTATTTAAATGTAATTTCATAAATGTGTTTTCGTCGCACTCAATCTCAAAACGTTTCTTTTTGTGTGTGATTTGAGCACTTTGAATCGCCTGGTGTTGAAATGTGCTACATAAATGAACGTGTGTTGTCGTGCATTACACATACACAGCTTTATGTATACAGGTAACAACTCTCCTTTATGGTTTCTCCTACCGTTAGCGTCTTCTTGTAGTAAGTTATTTTGGCTCGGACAGGATAGGGTTTGTTGCGGAAGTCTCGTAAACACGTGCCGAGGGCCTGTGTGGTGCCGTCACTGGATCAAAACAAGACAGACAAATAAACACACACATACATGCACCTATACAGCACTGGGCTCAATTTATTGACACATGATTAGACTTTCTTAAAAAGTGAATAACACTAATGCCCGTGTTTGTTTTGGTAAATACGTGCAAAGCAGTAAACAGTGTGAACTCTAAGACTGGAATGGCATTGGAAAAGTGATTTAAAGCTTTCACTGGCCCGGGGGAGATTAGGAAAACTGGAGGATTATTTACTTTCTAAGTAAATATAATCATATTTCATAATCTCCTTTAAATTGTTGAAATCTGAGTTGATGACATCATAGTGAAGCAAAAGAAGTGTTTACTTACTTTTGATGGTCATAAACAAGCTTGCCATTGTTTCCCACAACAACTATAGCTGGGTTATTTTTCTGGAGTGAAGATGATAGAAAACAAGGGAACAACACATTAATCCTTTTTTCATGTGAAGACCAGAGGTGGCTTTGCCTTTAGGTAATCTTATTCCAAAATATCAAACCTGAAATAATAAATACTCAAATGTGATACAAACAGAAGCAGTCTTTTGTTTAGCATGACATTGATCTGTTTATGAACTCAAAACCATCGGAAACAGAATCAAAATACTTAAAATAAAAATATTCATACAAACAGAGATCATCTCATAGAAATGTGAACATTTTACTACAATACATAACAAAAATGAATATGTAAATATTTACAATTATATAATATATATACAATTCGGTATAATAATTATGATTATTTAAATAAAATAAATAATAAAAAACGGAATACTTAAAACTTTCCAACAAAAGTATAATAGGCAAAACAAGCCAAAACTAATATAAGGATGATAAATATAAATATCTATATATATAAAGTAGCTCTAAAAGGAGGTTAATCTTACAATTATAATTTGTATATCAAACTGCCCCTCTCATCAGTTGACAACAACCAAAAAGAGCAGTGAGAGCCTGAATGTGTCTTTGTGTGGTTTTCAAAAAAGGACTCATTTCAGGAACAAGTCGTGGCTAACCAATAAACACCCACCTTTCCATCGTTATCAAAGGTGTCAAAGAAGACTCCCACTCCGTTCCACTGGTCGGCCGCTCCGTACACCGGGCCGTCGAGGCCCTGCTCAGTGGTGAACCACATGGCCTGCAGACGTGAGAGGAGGACATGTTAGTCAGTTTAGCGTCAGTTACAAAACATATTTCACAAGAGAAAGGCAGTAGCATTTTAGATTAACCACATTTAACATCTTCATTTGGACATACAGGCCTGAGAGCTCTGGAAAACAATACCAACCTCAAATACAAAATGTATTCCAGATATAAAATCATAAACAACAAAGTGCAGGCTAAAAAAAAAACAGAACTGTCATTATTTGAACAATTGGACTGTAAAGTGTAGTACACTGTATATTAGGGCTGGGTCATAGTGATTATATTAAATACCACAATATTTGTGCTACTATTCCCTTGGTGTTGGTATTGCAAATATATTGTAGGGTTGAGTATTGTAGCCTTTCTAAAAATATTCACACAATAATATATTTGTATAAATAATCATCTGTAGCTTGGCCTAAATGACTAGTGTTATGAAATGAAATCACCTTACTGTAATGCAGCAGATCTCTGGGGACAAGGGTTAGATATGAGCTGTAGCTTTAAGCTCTCTGTTCATATTCACATGTTCATGCTCTGTGTGTGTTCCATTATAGATATCAATTCACTTTTCTTTTGTAACCTTTTTTGTTCTGCCTCTTTCAGGTTTCTCTCATCACAAAAAAAGATCATCAGTGAAACAAAGAATGGGGAGTAAATATGACATGTGCTTAAGTATTCATGTGTTTTCCTGCAGCTGTGAATGGATCTCCAGTTGTCACCCTTGATATGACTAGAGGCCTGTTTGACTGGGGCAAAGCGATGCAGAAAACCAAAAACGACTTGTGATCACAACCTAAGTCAAGATGTATAAAGCCGTTTATGAAAGTGAAACAGGATATGCTTCATTCCTATAAGTGTTGACTGCAGAGTAGAGATGTTAAGATTCACCGAAATGAGTGCAAGACATTGCTCTAAGAAATAACAGTCAGTAAATAGCTGAGTTTCTGTGACAACACCAACTACCAAACATATACTCAGTTTCTGGAGACATGTTTTGACCTGATTTCCATTTATTCCTCTGCATACGTATAATATTAGAGTTGAAAGTAAGAGGGTTTACTGATTTAGATGATGACATATTGAATTAGAGCACAAGGAAGTAAGACTGTAAGCCACTTGTGATGCTCTAGTGCAGCTGTACAGAGTAGGAGATGCCAGTTCAGGGTTCTGGCTTTACAAAGTATATAATGTAAACTGCCTCATTATTAGACACAGCAGTCTGACCCCTCCTCACCAAACCATCCGCTCCCATCCGGCCTCGTCCAGATACTCTGAAGGTCACCTTGGCCTCCCAGTGTTCAAAGTTGAATTTGTTTTTGGTCCACACAGAGCCCTTCTGACTCCTGAGGGACGGAGTGATGCGCACTTGGTCTGCACTGGGAATAGTATCTTAATGGAGAAAAGGAGAGAATAAGGGTTTTAGAAGCAAGTTAGTGTATGTTTAATGATCTCAGGGGAAATACAAAGCCATTAACTCATTTACAAAAGATCAACATGTGGTTTATAAAACAACTGCACACTAAACAAGTCATTTACTGTGTGGCCTTCTTTTACTGGAGAAAAAGCACATGCCAGCTAACCTCTGGTAATGGTATCAGAAGCCAGCACTATCAGGCTGTTTCTACTGTCTAATTGTTTAACAGATTCACACACAGTAAACGATTGACCTCAGATTTGTTTGTTCAATCTGGGTTTACTTTCTAAAACAAACGTTAGCATACTAAATGTCTAACATGTTGCTATTCTCTGTTTCATATCATTGTAACTGCAATAATGTTATAAGTGCTGTACGGAGAAATAAAGGAGCTTAAATATATCACCTAATGGTTTTTTTTAAACTTTGCTCTAAAAAATAGTAGATCATATATTTTTTAAAGTCATAACATGTTTCAGCTTTTCGGTTTTGAGGATTTACATCTTTTATTTGTCTAATTGTGTTGTTAACTTAATAATTATGATGTTGGACTGCTAGTTGGACTAAACAAACAACTCATGCATGGGGGCCGAGCAGTTTAAGACACCAAGCACGTTATCAAAACATCCCTAATTTGGAGTATAGCTGCAGACATTTTATGCCATCCCACATCTCTCTCACCTTGTTTACTGTCAATATAGAGAATCAGTATTTTGGTATCTTAAATAAGGACAGAAATTCACCCCAAAAAAAATGCTGATGATGTCACCTTTGACCCTGGGAAATTGTGACTGACTAAAACATAGATCAGCAGAATAATAATCGTTGCAGATTGAGAGGGTATAATCTCGTGCTGCTGCAGTTTATTGAAAGCTCATATCAGCGATTGGACAAATCACAGGGTGATGCAAGAATCCAAAGGCCCATTTCTGAAAGATGAAAGTTCAACGCTTGAGTTGCATGTGTGTAAACAGCCTCTCCGTCAGTGTTGTTTTTAATTAGCCCAGGACACGTTGGAACAGGACTGGGACTCGGACGTAAAAGCTACGCTGATAAAATGTATGATATCTCTTGTGCAGTTTTGAATGGACCGAGAAAATCTTGACAGTACATCCTTCACGGAAACACGTCAAGGAAAGAAATAAACCGGTAAAACATAACCGACTCCAGCTGTCCTATTGTCGTGTTGTTACATTTGTGTTTTAGGTTGAAACAGCAGTTATGTGATGTTGACAGCTGGATACAAACTTACTTCCAGTGTGGATCCAAAACGGGATCCCGCCGTCTTTCTGAGACAGGTGGGGTCCCTTGAAGCTGTATTTGTACTCAAACCGGCGGTGAGGAAGCTCCTCTGTCGTCGGGGCACCGGCGGGGACGTCGGCGAGGCTGTGGTGAAATATTAACGTTGTGAGAAAAGTTAATATCAACAAACGAGTGTTGGCAGCCGGGCGCTGTGCTATGGACACCGCCATGTTTCTGTATCACTGCTGACGTAGCGCTGAGACCACGAGAATGACGGGATGCGTGAAGGGCCAACAGGGCGCTTTCTGATTGGTCCACTGCTTTGGTCCTTTTTCCTCTCTTCTTCTTCTTCAGTTTTTTTAAGGCAACAGCTTGACGACAGGAGCCATATGTACACAAACGAGTAACGGATTATATGTAACGGTAACACGTAATCAAGAATCAAAAAAGTAAACTGTAATGTCTACATTTAAAGACAAATACGTTATTAGATTACTGCTAAAATAAATACAATAATACAAAAACATATGATAATAATAATAATAAAAATAACAATGGGATAACTAGCAGGATTACAATGTATCATTACATTTCAAAACAAAGAACGGCATGCTTACACATTAAAACCAAGTTTTTTAATGCAGTAGATAGACAACTAAACATAAATACTGTATATGCGTACATTATAATGATAATAATAATAAATGTAATTGATATAGCGCCTTTCATCAACTCAAGTTCGCTTGACAAAGAAACATATAAGGACAAGACATAAAACAGGTGGCAGAAATGGAAGTCTTACATTGCAGGGATCTGCCGGAGAGAGTGCAGTTAATGTTGGAAGGCTTTGTTAAACAGAATGAGTTTTCAGGGTAGCTGATTTGAAGATGACTGACATTCATGGAATAATTAAAACCGAAGTTTGTAAACTATGACATTCAGCAGGCATACCCTATACTTTAATAGGTGGGGTAGGTCATTTGGAGAAACCGTCAGCTGGACGGAGTGCGCTAGAATTGCAAAACTTACACAGCCGGAACAGAAATCTGTCCCACTTCCTTACAGAGCCCCTCCTCCTAACACACCCTTACGAACGGCGCACATGTCCTAATGAGGGCACGATAATTGTTTCACAAGATGTGAAGGCTGACGGTTCTAGAACAGGTTCTATGGAAAGGGCGGCATTTTTACATGCCAGGTGGCATGGGAGGGCGGACAGTACGGTCTATTTGATACGTATATAACCTATTTATTGTTAAACATGCCCTAAACACAAGTGTTCTTAATGCCACAAGAGAACCAAGGTGTTCAGACCAACTAAACTCAAATATAGTATAAAACAGCAGAAAAATACTTCATGATACCCTAGATTCTGTTTACCGTAAGTACAGTAAAGGTTAGTGTATAACTGAAGTACACAACATGACATCCACCCATCTCCTGGGAGAGGCTAAAGGTGGACCGTGCAGCAACACATTTCAATAAATATTTGTCAAATACTAAGAGCGCTAGAATGTGCTGCTATAAATGGATATGTAATGTAGGCAAGAAGAAAATCAATTACATGTGTTCCAGCTGGAGTCTCCTCTGCTCCTGATCACTGCCTCTGTCCCTCTTTCTGACACTTCATCTTTATTCCTCCACATACATTTGTCTTCGTTCTCTAATGTCTCCATTCTCCTGGCTTCCTCCTGCTCTGACCCTCCTGGGCTCTTCAGTGTAACTCTGGACAGGAGGTAAGGCGTTTGGAGTGGGAGGTCCCGCCCGCCCGGCATCGGAGCGGCGGCCGCCGGGCCCGCGCGCCGGGCGGGCCCCCCTCGGCCGCCCCGTGTCCGCGTTGGAGTCACTGGAAATGACAGCTGTCGCGCAGGGGGGGAGAGCAGCACTTAAAAGGGTTAGCGGAGCGCTATGATAGGCTTGTGAGAATAAGAGTGAATAACCCCTGATTACTTATTGATAGGAGAGAGAGTAGTAACATGCGAAATAGTAAAATGCATGAGTAAAGACGATCTTCCTGGTTTGAACTCGCGCTGGAGCCTTCATTTAGTCTCAGATCCACTTCCACATGTTCTGCCAACAGCCCTCGTATGGCCCCACCTTTGGACATTAATACAGAAGACATCCTTTTTTGTGCTTTTTGAAAGACAAACCGTGTTTATTAATGATCCAAAACATTTTATTTGCATCACACATCCCATCAGTAAAGTCTGTTCAATGATTCATTGATCAGTTTTCCACTTTATCCACCCATGAATGTGTTTAATTCTCAGCTATTTTTCAAACAGAATCATACCATTGATTTCCTTATTGATTATCATCATGATAATGGTATGTTTCGGTATAAAAACATCAGAGTACCCCACTTCTATTTGTGATCAACAACAACAACCAGCCAACAACAGCAAACAACAGCCAACAACAACAACAACAATTTAGTGGCTTTGCAAAAACAATAACTGTAATATTTTACAATGTATTTCCCAAGCAAAGCAAAGACTATGAAGCTATTTACAGGAGGAATAATAAATGATTTACTTATTAATTATGATCATGACAGTAAAGCTAAATTTTTTGATATCATTTTAAATAAACATGCTTATGATGAAATAAGTGTTATAACCATCTGGGGAACTAATGTGTTAGTTAATTTGGGCAGCAACAATAACATTTAATGTCAAAATAATACATGTGATTATAAATGTCTCTATTGTTTTAGAAAGTGAATGACAGAATAAAAGTGTGTACAATAAAATAAGCTCTGCTGCTTTCTCTCTGAAGACTCGTGCATTACAAGAGAAACAACAACACGAATCAAAAGAAATATCCAACACATATTTAGAGCAAAGTTTACATATCAGTTCAGGTGAACAAGGATCCTCCTGAGCAGTGACAGCCTCCATGGCTACACAGACACAGGAAGGAGCCGGAAGAAAGTCCAACATCTACAGAACAACTCATGGGAACATGTTAAAGCACATCCCATAATGTTTGATTGACAGCTGATCTCTGCAAAGTGAAGACATGAACAATCAGCTCTGATGGACACACGGTGAGTTTAAGAAGTAGAATAGTTCCTCCAATGACTTCAGGCTATTTGAGTTTACAAAACTCAGAAGTGTCTCCATAATCATAATCAAGATAAACTCCAGCATGTAGCGGCTGAGTGAATGTGGTGTGCACTCTGTGACTGTGGCTGTGAGGGAGTGTGGTCGTCTTTCAACCAGAAGGTTGTGGGTTCGATCCCAGCCCATGCAGTCAACATGTCGATGTATCCTTGGGCAAGATACTTAACCCTGAGTTGCTCCCGATGGCATGGCCAACGGTGTGTGAATGTGTGTGAATGTTAGGTCCTAGAGTAAGGTACACTGCTCTGTTTGAATGGGTGTGAATGGGTGAATGACATGTAGTATGTAAAGCGCTTTGAGGGGTCTTAAAGACTGGATAAAGCGCTATATAAGTACAGTCCATTCCATTTACCATTTACTCTGTGGAGGAGAGTCATGGTTTCAGAAACGCTGTAGAAGGACAGAATACCTACTCTGTGATCCAGGTACACTCCTACTCTGGAGGACTGAGGACCTGAGACGGAAGTGTCGATACTGTTGTAACAAAACAGCTCCAGCATTGCAGTGATCAGCAGGAGCAGGTGGGGGTCCAGTCTTCTTCAGCTCCTCCACTAAAGCTGCTAACATGGTGTTAGGCAGGACAGGCCTCGGTGTGAAGCTCTGCCTGCACTGAGGGCAGCTGTGGATCTTCTTCTCATCCTCTCCATCCCAGAAGCCTTTAATACACTTCATGCAGTAGCTGTGTCCACAGGTAGTCGTCACTGGATCCTTCAGTAGATCCAGACAGATGGGACAAGATATTAACATTTCCCGGTCCAGCTGAACTCCTTTCTGCGCCATTTCACCTCTCAGTGGGAGCGAGTGTGTGAGTTTCACTTCCTGAGAGCTGAAACTAGTGTGACAGGTTATCTGAACAGCTGTTTGTGTGCAGTGAATGTGGCCTATCAGCTTGTGTACTTTACCCACATGTTGGTTACACCCATGGTTACACCCCTCCTCCTCAGTGTGGATCTGAAGGGGAGGAACCAGGAAGTACAGAGTGGAGCTGGCTCTGTCTGAGAGCAGGAAGTAGAGAGAGGGCTCATCAAACAGCGCTCAGACTCTGACCTACACAGAGCCTCGGTTACAACCTCCTCTTCATTTGAAAAGAGCTTTTAGTTGTAAAATAAGTTGGTAAACGTACAAAATCTGAAGGGGGTTAAATACTTGTTTCTTCCACTGTAAATGTATAGCCTCAATGTCCTGAAATAGCTGACTGATTTAATAGTTGAATGTACAGTAAGTAGTTTTGTACTGTAAGTGCTAGTAGTAGTGGTAGTAGTAGTTGGAGTAGTAGTAAGTATTGTGTGTGTGTGTGTGTGTGTGGGGGGTCTTTTAGAACAAACTCCTTATTCTGTGCATTCACACTAAATATGAACCTGAAAACTATATACGTCCTCTTTAACTGACACCAAAATGATAATTTGTGTTTGAAACCTTCTTTTAAATATTTTCTTTATACCCTCCAACAGATGTGTTTCAATGGAGAAGAAGAAACCTCAGAATCCTTAGAGTCCATCGAGGTGAGTTCCTCCGAGGAATCCTCTCCCACTGTGTCCCCTTCCCAGGATCCCCCCCCCCACAGGACCCCATCACAGAGACACCCCTACCTAACGTGATCCAGGAGACTGAACCTCCTTCCTCACTCACTCCCTTCCTCACCTCCTCCCCTCCTCATCTCCTTCCCTCCTCTCCTCTCAGAGGACCCTCAGACCTCCACAGACCCCCTCCCTCTCCTCCCTGAAGACCCAGCTAACATAGCTCTGTTTGTGGATGTTTCTCCGAGTGCTGCTGACCTCCTGAACGTCCTCCCACATTTTGGACGCCTCTGCCTCCCCCTCCCCAATTTCATAGTTTCCTCACCCTTTCTCCACAGCAGCCCCCACCCTAAAGATCCCTCTAAGCACCGCTCTGACCGGGGTCCCTGTTTGCATCACGTTCCAGTTCTACACCCCCGAACCAGAACCCAGAGGAGACAGCAAGTCATCCAAAGAGACGTGTTTTGGCCGTGCTGCTTTCTGACAGAGGATCTGTGAGGGTCTGAACGAAATCTGATTTAAAATAAAATACATCATTACGGTCTGCTTATTATGTACTTTATAACTCTATCATCTTTATTTTCCATTTCATTGTATTTTTAAATCACTTTTTTTTATTGTTTTTAATCTATTTT